GAATGGGCTGGATATGCTGGGGTGCTGCAGAATCTGGCTCTTCCCAAGAGGCAGGGGGAGGGAAAAGCTTTGCACTTTAGATATCCAGAGGGGTTACACAAGCTCATCGTGATGCTTTCTGTTCTAGTTTTATGTTTTCCTAACAGAGGAATCCCCCTTTTTCTGGGATTATTTTGCAAGATGTTAACAGTGACTGAAAACTGTGGCCAGAGTAGTACCAGAAGCTTTACTATCTCTGCCATAGGTTAGCACCCATGGAGCAGAAATGGATATATGCTGCTCTGTGCTGTGCTCAGCCTGGGTGTCTGTTCTGGGGGCTGTAGGCTTGGGGAGGGGCCTGGGAGCAATTTGTCTCAAGATGGGCTTTTGTTCTCCTCTCTTCTGCCCACTCAGCCACTCTTCTTCATAGCCAAATGGCTTTTTAAGAGATTTTGAAGCTGAGCTAAGCGGAGCACCACCTTCAGCGTTAGTCAGCCTGACAACAAGATCCAGCCTCACAGAGCACACCCTGGGAAGCACAGGAAGAGGGGGAATGAGAATCCCTGAGCATGGCAGGAAAGTGGGGAAAATGTCAGACAGCTGCAGCACTGCAGAGTGTGGAAATAGTAGCACAAGAGTTAAGCCTAAATCTTCAAAGTCCTGAGTGCCCTTAACTGTCATTGATTGCTGGAGAAGTTCTCTCCTGGGAAACATTAAGAATTTTATTGGCATACACCAGTTAAAAAGAGCTGTTAGGAATCGGGGCTCCTTGGCATCGTGCACTTGGACTAATTACTTTCCAAATGTATTATTTAAAATAACCCTAATCCAGTAAAGTGGGCTGCCTCATTCAGAAACCCGCTGGCTTTTCTGCAGAGTGGGATGAGAGCATCCAGAGGATGCTGCTCTGTGCCGACAGCGGGCTGGAATTGTTTGCCTTTGACAATTTAAAGCCACCTGGGAGTCGCTGATCTTTCAGGGCAGGAGCTCTGCAGGTTTCTTCTTTCCCTTCCGCTGTTTATTGCACTGCTTGGGGAAAAATGATCCAGCTGTTGGTTTTGGCCTGCAAATGGAGAGCAGAGCTGTCGTCTGGCGCCCGGTCATCCACCTGCGGGAGCCTCAGCTCTGCCCTTTCATTCACTCTCTCCTGTCCGCAGGTTGACGGGCTGCTCTTCTATCACAGGCAAACCCACTACACCCCCGGCAGCACCCCGTTGGTGGGCTGGCTCCGGCCCTACATGGTCCCTGAAATCCTGGGGCTCACCGTGCCCTCCACCGCGCTCACGGCCAAACCGAACTATGCCGGGCGGCAGCTGCAGCAGATCATCGAGAGCAAAAGGAGTAAAAAGCTGGCGGTGGAAAAGGGCGACCCGAGCAGCGTGGTGGCTGCGAACAACGGACATTACGAGCTGGAACACTTGTCTACCCCTCAGCCAGAAAAGTCTCTGGAGGGCCAGGACGGAGCAGTGAGCCAAATGGAGAGTTAAGATGCTGGGACAGGCCAGCGGGGGAGGGAGCAGGGAAAAGGCTCCCTGCTTCTCACTGTCCCTCATGCTCCTGAGAGGGGGCAAAGTAACGATGATAGGATAGCTTTGTTTCAAGGGCATAACAGTGGAATATCTTGCCCCAAGGGCTGGGTTTTTTGGTGGGTTTTTTTTGTTGTTGTTGGTTGTGGTTTTTTTTTTTTTTTTGGGGTTTTGGTTGTTTTTTTTTTTTTTTTCCTAGGCTTCTGTGAGTCCTTAACAGGATTGTCTGGTTCTCTGCTAAGGCAGTCGTGCGTTGGGACACGCTGCAGGGATACAGTTCAGCTCCTGACCCTGCTTTTCCTGAAGCCCTGGCAAAGCTCCAGCATAGGAACAGTGCTCGGACCTCTGAGGTGCAGCTGCTGCTCATGACCCCAAGTAGCAGCCCCACCTTCCTGACCCCAGAAATGGGGGCTTCTCGGCCTCTGATCCAGCTGTTTTCTGAGGCCTTCGCAATGAAAGTTTTGGGGTCAATCTGCTTCTTACTAGCAAAAAGTTGGCATGAGCTTCTGTAAATCCAGAGGGTGGACTTTCCACATCCACATGGTTTTAGGACGATCTAAATTTTCCTTGCATCGCAGCAGGACCTGCCTTGGAGCAGGGCTTTGTGCACAGTGAGTGCAGCAGAAGCCTCTCTCTCCTCAAGGCTTTTCTCAGTGGGGGGAGGAAGGAATGGCTTCGCTCTGAAAAACACTACCATTGATCGTGCCAAATAAAAGGTTTCTCAGAAAGACAAATTCTTGAGCGTCTTCCTGCTACCTAAGGGTGGATGCGTGCTGTGCCTCCCAAATAGGGATTGAAAAAATCAGTTCCAGCGCTGACTGGAGCAGAGGAAACGCTTATGTGGGTTTGATTCTCTGCACACTGAGTTAGTTTGGTCCCCTCTGTCCCTCTCACCCCAGCCCAATCCCACTTTTTTTAAGCACTGGCTGCTCCTTCTCCCTGGCTTTAAGAGGATGAAATGATTGTTCTCACTGTGGCCAGGTTGGTTTTCAGAGGGAGATTAAAAGGGGAGATGAAACATCAGGCGAAAGGCGGTATTGGGGACTTTTCCTCCCAGCTCTCTAGGGAAATGCCCCTGGAGGAGATAGGGAGAGTGGGGATGACCACCTGCATATAGTGGGGGCACTTGTATCCTGCCCTCACACCCCCACTTTTTCCCAGAAAAAGGCTGATTCTGTGCCAAGCATGTGGGCTGCGTGCAACCATCTGGATGTGCAGCCACTATTGATTACACCAGTGGGCAGCAGGAACTGTCCTGGATGCAGGGGGGCTTCCCCGGGAGGGAAGCGGCACCCTTAGCTCTGCAATGTTTGGAGCTGTCTCTTTCAAACAGCTGCTTATTTTATAATGTTCAGTATTATTTTTTTAGCATGTGAAGCAGCTGGCTCAGGGAAAGATGATAGACACCTGGACTGCCTTATCCCCCCATCCCTCAAAGGTTCCCACCTTCAGCCTCTCTGGTTGGCAGAGACCTGCAGGGAGAGTGCTGAACAGGAGACAGCACCCAGCCTCCTGTCAGCACAGTTTTCCTTCTGTCAGGTAATTAAACCCGGAGGTGGGTATCTGGATGGAAGATTTGTGCATCTCTTAAGGCAGAGAAAGCTGCACTCAGGTTACTGCTCCCCAGCAGCCTTCCAAGGTCCTCCGGCCAAGGGAAGGAGAGGAAATACAGCCAAATAGGGGCTGTGTGCTCTGATGGATGGAGGAGAACAAGAGGGAAGCGACTGCAGCTCTCCACTGGCTCCAGATGATGCCTCATAGTTTCTCTTTTAAAAGCATGAGCTGGGCTGGTGAAATAAATATTTGCATTACAATTCCTGTTGGGAACCAAAGGCTGTGTTTGGAGAGAGGGTGTCAAACGGAAGTCGCCGGGGCCAGTGCAGTTTGATGCTGTGACTGTTCCGTTTGCTGGGTGTGATCCCGTTCCCAGCTGGAACAGGCAGCAGCTCCAGCGGAGGGGATCACGCCCCCCACACCCTCCCCGGCTGCTGAAATTTGGCCTGGGGCAGGAGAGCTGAGCTGGCAGCTCGACGTGGAGACGTGGTCTGGGTCTCTGGGGGACAGAAGGAGCCTGGAGCCCTCATCCAGCAGGGGCTCAGCCCCTTCCCTTTGCCCTTCTTCCATTTTCTCCCAGTTAGGTGCACAGGCTCCGGCTGCGGGCACGCTGCCAGTGCAGTGCTCCTCGGCTGAACAAAATGTCCCCTTGTCCCAGGGCCCGGCTTTTTGGTGGGACTGCTGCTGTGCTCCCCGGGATCCGCCCGCTCCTTCCCGGAGGAGCTTCGGGACTCTCCATCCAGGCACTGACACCTGCGCCCAGCCGGGAAATGCAATTTACGGATTGCAGAGGAGGGAGTGGAAAAGAGGCGCCTGGAAATCCCAGACTGCTGCTCGTGGGGGAAGGCCGCGAGGCTGGAATACCGGCAGGGGAAAATGCTGTGCCGGGAATTTCATCCAGCGCCAGCAGGAGAGGAGGATGCTGCCACCATTTTAGCGGCGGTGCTCCCGCCTGCAGCGGCCGGAACTGGGGCTGGGGGAGCCGGGGCGGAGCGGGGCGAGGGGGGGGGGGGCGATCGGGCCCCTCCAGCCCCATCCCGGCTGCTGCCCCCCGCTCCCCCCCCCCCCGCCACAGAGGCCTTCCTGTCCCCCGCCCGCCCTCCGGGGCTGGCCGAGCCGCGGGGAGGGGACGGAGAGGAGGGATCGGGGTGTGCGGGCGCTTCCTGCCGCCGCCCCCGCCGGGGCAGAGCGGAGCGGAGCGGGGCGGGAGCTCGGCCCGGCCCGGCCCAGCCGAGCGGCGCTCCCGGTCCGAGCCAAACTTCCCGGTGTGCTCAGACATACACGCATATATATATATTTACATATATATATATAAAAAAAATATAATATATATATTATTATTTTAATTTTTTCGGCGCTTTCGGCGGGGCCCCCGGGGCGGAGCCGCCTTCGCCGCCGGGAGGGGCCGGTGCCCGCAGCGCCGGGGATGGGCTCCGCCGGGGCGCCCGCCGCTTAGACCGGCCCGGCTCGGCTCATCCCGGCCCGGCTCATCCCGGCCCGGCCCGGCTCATCCCGGCTCGGCCCGGCCCGGCTCGGCTCGTCCCTGCCCGGCCCGCTGCGCAGCATGGCCGCGGAGCTCAGCGCCGAGGAGGAGCAGGTAGGTCCCGCCGGGCTCCCCTTCCCCGTGCCGGGCTGGGCAGGACCCCGAGCGCTGCACGCATCTCCCCCGCATCCCCTCCCGCCGCTCCTTTCCCATCATTTTTTGGCTACCCCGGATGGCAGGGCTGGTTTTTCCCAGCGGGGCGGTTCGCCCCATGGGAAGCCCCCCACCCCACCCACCCACGCAGCCCCCCCAACCTTACAGCCCCCCATCCACGCAACTCCCCACTGCGCCGCACTCCAGAAGCCCTTGCAGGGGGCTGCGGCATGGGTCCCACATCCCCAGAGCAGCGCGTCCCTCCTGGCGGGCCTCCCTGCCGTGGGGACGGTGCGTGGGGATGTTGCGTGGGGATGGTTCGTGGGGATGTGTGTGCACGCGCTTCCCACGCCCCAGGCCTCCCGTGACGTCCCGGCTTCCTCCGCCGGCCTTGCGTCACCGCGGGAGGATGTTGCTGGGCTCGGGGAGCGGGGCCCGGGAGCCAGCGGGGGCACCTCGGATGGCCGGAGCAATCCCTGGCTGGCTGTTCCCTCCTTTGTCCTCATCCCCAGGTTTGCCCACCCGGCTGAGCCGCGGCCACTGGCCTTCCCTCTGGATGGGGATGCGGAGCCTGGGAGCGGGACTGGGCGTGCTGCTGGAGGCTGCCTCTGCCCCACGGCAATGCTCGGGCTGGCACATCGGCCACCTTGGTGGCGTTGGGGGCTGCCATGCGAGGGCAAAAAGGTCCGGTTTTCCTTCCAAAATGGTTGGTTTTCCAGATGGTTGATTAGTTGGTTTTCTCCTTTAAAAATCCTTAATTTCTACGGGGAAGTTTAGGAGAGTTGGGACGGAGATCCCGAGTTCCCAAAACCCCAAGGAGGAGGCCCTCCTACAGCCTGTGCTGGTGCTCAGGAAGTGCAGGCTTTTTCCTCCTGGGAGCAGTACTGCTATCTCCAGGGTGATAAAATCCCAAGGAATGGGGGGTGTTCTTGCCCTCCGTCCCCGCAGGTGCCTGAGATTTGCTTTTCTTCTGTGTTGTGAAGGCGGTAAAGCTTCCAGCAATGGGGCTTTAACAGAGCCTGCGGGGGCAGGGAGGGTTGGTTTGCAGCAGGAGCTGTAACTGGGCCCGTGTCCCAGCAGGGGGATCTGAGATGTTTGGTTCATGCAGGAATATTGGATGGAGAAGGTGAAGGTATGTTTGCAGTAGTGGCTCCAGGTTTGGATCATCATCCTGGGGTGGGGAAGGCTGCCTTTGGTGATGCCCTCGGTGGCTTGGGAGCCAAAATAGTGGAAGCTTCCCTCTTTTCGTGGGTGGTTTGGGCTGGGACATCCCCTTCCTGCCATCCCTCATCCTTTTCATGACCATCAGGATTTCCTCTGCTCTCCCCTGTTACTGACAGCAAGTCAGAGGAAATTCACCCCACTCCTCTCTCTTCAAGTCTTGGGACATCTGTGCCCGCTCTCTGCAGTTCCCTCCCTAGCTTATCCCAGAGGAGCCAAACCGTTTTTCCTCGAGGTTTTCAGCCCAGCTGCAGTTTTCACGGATTTATCTCCCCATTCCCCGGGATGAAGAAGAATAAGGGTAGGTTTGCTGCCTGGGGGAGGAGGGCTGGAAGAGCCCCCGTGTCCCAGCAGCGGTGGCTTTGTCACCACCCTGCCGCGGCACAGCCGAGCGGGGACACGGATGACGGCAGCACTCCAAAGACCAGCATTGTTCCAAACGCCCGACCACAGACAATTTCACTCACAGTGCTGCCAGAACAGGGCTTCTTGCTGCAGGTCTGGGTCATGGGCTTCGTTTCAGCATGTGGAGCGGTCCCTGCTCCACTAGGATTGATACCTGCATAAATCCACGTGGGATCAGGGCTGGGAATAGATAATGAGACCCAGTGGAGTGCACGAAGGGGGCAGAGCTATGGTTGATAGCGCCTGTCTCCCTGCTGTTGAATGTCGGCACTGGTAAGTTTGGAATTTGGTTTTGTTCCCAGGGAAAGATGAAATTCATGGCTGAGCTGCCCTGCAAAGCCAACGCTTGTTCTTGTGCATATTCCCCCTTGCAAAAAGCCTGGCACCCCTCGTGATGGATGATGGAAGTGGGACTGTGTGAAGTGTGATGGGTTAGATGTGGAGGAAGGAGACCTGAACCACGTGTTGCATCCTCTCCTCGCTGCCACTGTGCCCCTTGGCCCCTCTTCCCATCATCTGGGGCCTCCCTTTCCATCATCCTTGGGGTATTATTACCATCCCAGGCTGCAGTGTTGGCTCTGGTCTCCATCCAAGGGCAGTAGGAGTGTACCTGGCACTCACCTCCATCCCTGGGCCATCCTGCACATGCTGGGGAAGGAGCATCTCCGCTGTTATTTTGCATTTGCATCCCCAGCCCTAGATTCTGGGGATGCCTTGGAGGAGTGGAGGTGCAGCCAGGATATATTGGATAGGATATATTTGTGGATAGGATATATTCCTGTATACATACATGTGCATGTGTGCTGTGTTGAGGCTGAAGATGGTTCCTGTACTGCCCCATTTATTTTCCCCTGTGCTCTCCCGGGAGCTGGGGTGCTCCTGGCTGTGAAGTGTTGGGGGAGAGACCCCTCGGATGAGCTGGGCTCCTTCAGCTCATCCCACGAGAAGGGCTCACTGCCCCTGCTGAGCCTCGTGCCGCCGATAAACCCCAGCCCTTCGCTTCCTCCTGTCGGAAGTCATTAACACCAACAACCTTTTCTGGCTCAATAGCTCCCAGTAGCTCTGAATAGCTCCCAGTAACTTCGTGCTGCAGCCTGACATCCAACACCACCGTCTGCCTGTGCTCCCTGCTCCTGGAGCCAGCCTTCAGCACTCCCTGTCCCTCCTCCTCCTCCTCCTTGGATGACATTGCCATCCTCCACTCTAGAGAGGATAGAAGCTCCTCCATTTTGGGGTGTGCCCCCGATGAGAGTGAGGCATTTTGGGAACTCCCTCCATCCTGCCTGTATCCTTTGAGCAGGATGTGGTGGAAGGCTGGGCTGTGCTTCCCCATCTCCCCTGGGACTCCTGTGTGGGACAGGGGATAAATAGGCAGCAGAAAGCAAAGCTGCATCCTGGGACCCTCCTGGTCTTCCATGGCCATGTGAAACTGGTGTTATTGGGTGAGCTGGTCCATGTCCTGTAACAGATCAAAGTGTCAGCCCTCCACGCTCTTTACCTGTGCTCCCACAACCAGGTTTGCTGCTCCATGGAGGAGCTGCAGCCCCAGGAGCTGCCAGCTGCTGCCAGCGGATGGGTACCTGCTGTGCTGTTTTTGCTGTGTCTGAACAGGAGTTTGATGCCTGTAAAATGCTCCTCTTGCTCCCCCTTTCCCCCTTCCAGCCTGTCCCCCAGCCTCAAGGCCATTTTTCCTACCACTGTCTCCCTTTCCCACGCTGATTTTTCCCCCATCTCCATCCCCACTGCCCTTACCCCTTTTGCTGTGGAGTTCTCCTCTTCACCCTGAGGAGCAGGGTGTGTCCCCTTTTGCTGTGGAGTTCTCCTCTTCACCCTGAGGAGCTGCTGGGTTTGCTGAGGACTGTAGCTCCCACCATGACCAGGGGTGCTCCTCGGGCTCTCCTCTTCCTCCCACCCTGTCTCACTGCATGCCCCTGGTCTCTTCCACAGGCAACCAAGCAGTTCCTGGAGGAGATCAACAAGTGGACAGGCCAGTATAATGTGTCCCCGCTCTCCTGGAATGTGGCTGTCAAGTTCCTCATGGCCCGCAAGTTCGACGTCCTGCGGGCCATCGAGCTCTTCCACTCCTACCGGGTAAGTGAGCAGGGCCAGGACCCCCCTGGGTAAGGGATTCCTGCTCTGAGGGAGATCCCTGCTCTGGCAGACTACCCTCCCCCCGCTCTTTTTTCTTTTTCCCGCTCCCGTATAAGTTTTATCCAGCTGGAAAATCCTTTTTCAGCCAAGGCGGGTCACCATGGAGATCTCACTGATCCCAATCCCCTCCCCTCTGCTGAGAGCAGCTCACAAGGTGCCCTCCCGACTCGTGTATTCTGCCCGTAGGGCATCTCCCTGTATATTAAGGATTTAGATCCATGTATGTCCTTCCCAGCCTGGTTTTGCAAAGCTGCTCCTCCCCATGCTGGGGTGCGTGCTGGAAAGTGGGCTCATGGAGCAGAGGTTCCCTCGGAGGGCTGGGTGCCCCATGGGGCCGTGGTGGTGGGTGGACAGCTGGGGTGCCCGTGCCCCCCATCATGCCGGCTCCCTGCCCGCAGGAGACACGGCTGAAGGAGGGAATTGTGAAGCTGAAGCCACACGAGGAGCCGCTGCGCTCGGAGCTGCTCAGCGGGAAGTTCACCATTCTGGTAGGTGGGGTGTACCCCCCCCAAGTTATCCCAGCTGGGTGGCTCATCCCTGCTCCTCTGGCGTGGCTGCTGCAGAAGCCTGACCCTGTTTCCTCGGCAGAGCGTGCGGGACCCCTCGGGAGCCTCTATCGCCCTGTTCACAGCCAAGCTGCACCACCCCAGCAAGAGTGTGCAGCACGTGGTGCTCCAGGCACTCTTCTACCTGCTAGACCAAGCCGTGGAGAGGTGAGCCTGCCTCTGCCGAGGTACCCTGTCTCACGCTGGTGGGTCCCTGGGGAGCCCCTTCCCTCCCAGGGTGGTCACTGCTCCCCATGGCTTGAAATTCCCTGGTTTGAACTCCAGCCGCTCTTCCCCATGGAGGTGTTCAGCCGGGGGACAAAATCTCCTGTACCCTGAACCAGGCTCTTCTGCAGCCTCGCCCTGTCTATGCCCTGGGTTCAGTTTAGAAAAGCCCCAGATTCCTGCAGGCTTTGGCTGGGGAGGAGGCAGCCCTGCTGTCAGCCAGGCGTAATGTGAGTCCTGCCAAAAATATAAAGCCGGGACATTCCCCCCTATCCCCCCTTCCCCAGCCCCCTGCTGGGCTCTTTCTGTTTTTGACCTTACCTATCATGGGTGATAACACTGAAACAGGCTTAAATGAAGGTTGTAGGAAGAGGTGTGGTGGAGCAGCTGGAAGTGAGGTTTGGGTCTGTGAGTCCTTCTGGAAGCACAGAAAGGGATTTTTAGGGGTCAGTGTGGGGCAGAGGTGCTGCTGCAGGAGTCATGTTGTGGGGTTGATGTTGCTCTTTCCTCTCTCTCAGCTTTGAGACGCAAAGGAATGGGCTGGTGTTCATCTACGACATGGCAGGGTCACAGTACACCAACTTTGAGCTGGACCTCAGCAAGAAGATCCTCAACCTGCTTAAGGTGATGTCCGGGGTGACCCCAGGGACAGTGCATGGGCCATTCACCCTCACTGAGAACCTGAAGACCTGTGGTTCTGGCATCAGTTTTCACCCCAGACCATGCTGACCACGTCTTGGCTGAGGAGCACAGGCTCCAGCCCCGCAGGACCTCAGGAAGGCACTGGGAGCCTGCCAGGCTGAAGCCAGCTGAGGCTGAGGCTGTGTGTCCCGCGGGCAGAAGAGATCAGCTGTCCCCGGGCCAGATTCCTCTCACAGCTGCTGGCAGCGCTTTTGGGAAAACAGATGCAAATTATTTTTTAATCATGCTGGCATTTGGTGCCTTCTCTGGAAAAAAACAGTAACAGTAAATGCTGGCCAGGGTGTGTTCTCTGCACAATCCCAGTTCCTGGTCTTCACCTCTCCCCTTCGGAGACAAGCCCTCTGCCTACCTAATTCCAAGGAAGTAAATTTGTTTCCGTATTGGCTCATAGAAACAAGCACGGACGGTGAGCGTGCCAGGAACGCTTTGGATGTGGTGTTGCCACCACAGGGTCCCTTTGATGATTGTCACCTCTGCTGGGACGTGTCCCCTGCCAGCAGAATGGATCTGACCCCCTCCTCCTGCCTGCAGGGTGCCTTCCCAGCTCGGCTCAAGAAAGTTTTCATCGTGGGAGCGCCCATGTGGTTCCGCGTGCCCTACTCCATCATCAGCCTGCTGCTGAAGGAGAAGCTGCGGGAGCGGGTGAGTGGAGACCCTCCTGGCACAGGACCCTTGGCAGGGAGGGCTGAGGCTGCTTTCCCTTTGGGACAGGATGGTGGAAGCAGCTTGTGCCGCTCAGCCCCATCTGCTGGAAGCCACTGAGCACCAGTCCTTTGGCACCCCTGTCCCGAACCCCAGTGAATCCTCTCCAGCTTTCTTGGAGTGACCCCTGCCTTTCTTGGAGTGACCCCTACCTCTTCCTCACACAGGTGCAGATGGTGAAGATGTCGGAGCTGAAGGAACACCTGCCACGGGAATGCCTCCCTGAGTACCTCGGGGGGTCCCTCAAACTGGACCCTCTGAGCTGGAACTGCCGGTTCCTGCCCCAGCAGAATGGGCACCCTGACCCCCTGGACGAGCTCATCCTGGTGCCGCTGGCGGCCCCCAAAGATAACGGCTCCGTCCACGTCCCTGGGCCCAAGTCCATGACCCTCCAGGAGCTACTGGATCATGTCAGTCACAAGCAGAAACAGGGCATCTATGAAGAGTATGAAGATATTCGGCGCAGGAGCCCAGCCGGCACCTTTGTCTGCTCTTTGTGAGTTGGGGGAAAGACGTCAGGAGCCCCTCTCGGCCCAAAACGCTGAGTGCTCCCCACACACACACTTCTGCTGCTGGATGGTGGTCCATCGGCCTCTTTAGAGTGTGGTGCTTTGGGTTAGCAGCAGAGAACCCCAGCCTAGGGATGGTGTGAGGCCTCTTTGTAGGTCCTGCAGCCCCCCGGGGTAGGAGGGAGCTGCAGGGAACAGCAGGGACCAGGACCTGGCCGGGACTCCACCTCCTGAGGCTTTGACCAGGTGATGGCAGCAGAGCCTCGGCTACAGGCTCCAGAGGTTTGTGCAGAGTGAGGGCATGCTGCCTTTGCCTTCCCTGCCTGGAAAACATCCCTGCTTCCCTCTCCCCTCCCTCCCAGGGCACCCTACAACCAGGAGAAGAACCGGTATGGGGACGTGCCCTGCCTGGACCAAACCCGTGTCAAGCTGGCAAAGCCATACAGTCGCCCGGAGGTGAGGCAGCCTGGGATGGAAACTCACAGTCCTGCAGGAAGCTGACACAGCTGTCCTGGACACAGGGTTCTGGAAGCCTTATCTCATCCATGCTTTTCTCCCTGCAGCTGACTGACTACATCAACGCAAGCTTCATGGATGGCTACAAGCAGAGGAACGCTTACATTGGCACTCAGGGTATGGCCCGAGCCTCTGAGAGGTTATTCTGCTCCTGATGCAGCTGTGGGCTTCACCTTCCTGCCCAGTGGCAGCCACCAGCCGTGGTGGGGGACATCCCAGGAGAAGGACCCTACAGTGCCCAACAGGTCCCCCTTCTCTCTGGATATATTTACTCCTCCCTGGGTATATTTATTTCCCTCCCAGTCTCCAGCCAGGAGGGAGTGGAGCTTCTCCTGGGAGAGAGCGAGTGGATCCATCCTCCTCCATCCACGATAGCAGCCCCCTCCCTTCTGCCCCTATCCCAGCCCTGGATTTGCCCCATCTGCCCAGGGATGAGCAGAGACGGGGGATCAGTGCTGAGCCGTAGGGATTCAGTGCTGGGGGGGCAATCAGTGGCAGCTCCAGGCAGGGCAGGTGGAGCCAAACCTTCCCAACAGGAAGGGACTGTGGTTCCCTGTGGGGATGATGGGGGGCTGGTGGAGCAGCCGGGCAAAGGGGTTTGCCCAAATCCATTAGGTTTTAGGCTGAAGTGTGGATTGTCCCTGCAGGGCCTCTGGAAAACACCTATGGTGACTTCTGGCGCATGGTGTGGGAGCAGAACGTCCTGGTGATAGTGATGACAACCCGGTGAGTGCTCGTGGAGGGACACAGACCTCTTTTTCTGTGCAAAATGAGCATTTTTGGTGCGGGATGAGCAGTGCTGGGCTCTGTGCAGTGATGCTGCAGCCATGGTGCCAGCCAGAGTCCCACAGCAGGGGGGGCATCGCATCAAGAACAGACAGTTTGGTCCCTGCGGGATTCCTGAAGGACCAAGGCTGAGTGGCATGGGACATGTCCCAAGCAGGGCAAGAAGGACATGACCAGCTTGTCCTTGTCCTGCTCTCAGGCTAGAGGAGGGAGGCAGGAGGAAGTGTGGCCAGTACTGGCCCCTGGAGAAGGATTTCCAGGTGTGCTTCGGGGCCCTGACCATCACCAACCTGGGCGTGGAGAACCTCAGCCATTACAAGAAAACCATTCTGGAGATCCACAGCTCGGAGGTGCGTGGCCACAGCTGCCTGGTGGGGGACAGCACAGGGGCACGGTGGGTCCAAGGAGGGGAGAGGGTCTAATTCCCCTGCTTTCCCCAGACCAGGGAGCGGCGGCTGGTGTCCCACTTCCAGTACCTGAGCTGGCCGGATTATGGCGTTCCTTCCTCCGCCGCCACGCTCATTGACTTTTTGGGGGCTGTGAAGCAGCAGCAGAGGGTGGCTGTCAGCACCCTGGGACCTCGCTTCAAGGGTCACCCGAGGGGACCACCGGTCGTGGTCCACTGCAGCGCCGGCATCGGCAGGACAGGTAACGGGTGCAGCGGAGGTCTTGGGGGTGGTGAGATGATAAGTCCAGCTTCCCTGGGACATTTCCATCCCAGGGATCCACTGTGTGTTTGCAAGCTGGTTGACCTGGGATGCACGTCCTCAGGACTTACCACAGCCATCAGACCTAGGAGAATTCTCCAGATGCCTGCTCGAGATCCGTGGGGGGCTGAGAACCACCACTCCAGTTCTCGCAAGGGGCAGCGACGGCGCGATTTGGTGGCTGATGGCGTCCCGTTGTTGTCCCCAGGTACCTTTTGTGCACTGGACATCTGCCTGTCGCAGCTGCAGGACGTGGGTACTCTGAACATCTACCAGACGGTGCTACGCATGCGGACCCAGCGCGCCTTCAGCATCCAGACCCCCGAGCAGTATTACTTCTGCTACACTGCCATCCTCGAGCACGCCCAGCGTGAGGGCCTGCTGCTCGCCAACCACAGCCGGGCTGCCCAGGAGAAGAGTTCGCCAGGGCACTGAGATCCCCCGCCTCCCTGCAGACACCCCCTTCCCATCCTCCGGGGGCTGCCTGAGCTGCCTTGGTGTCTGCCAGGACTCAGCTGAGCTGTTGGGGCGGCGGTGCCAGAGCACCTCAGCTGTTAGCACTGCTATGGAACTGTGCCTTATTCAACCCAAACAGTAGCTGCCACTCGCCGGCACGGGAAGGGGCTCTTGCTCCTCCCCATTGTGTTTTGGTTGGGTTTGGTTGCGTGTGGAGGTGGTTTGTCTTCTCTTCAAGTTGTTTTGTTTTTTTTTTATTTTGTTATTTTGTTGTTGTTGGGACCACCTAAGCTGTACCTAGAGAGGGGCTTTGCAAAGTCCTAGAAAATGTATTCCCACTCCTGGGGCTGGGGGAGAGGTGTGTGCTTTGGTCTCACCTGCCACTCCCTCTGTGTGTCTGTATGTATGTGTGTATATAATATACCCCTGCTCTGCTCCCCTGGCTATTATATAGATACATATATACAAGCTCCCCTTTAGCAGCTTCCGAGGATTCTCACTGTCCTGCCACCTCACTGCTGTGATCCCTGGAGCGGTGAGTTTGGTCCTGGCTCTGTCTTATCTTCCCCCTTCCCCTTTTTCCCCCTCATGGGCAGCACTGGGACACGGTACCCACTCTCATGCCTGTCCCACTGGAGGCACGAGGATGCTTGGTGGTGTCCCCCCCATTTCCTTGTCTCATCTTCCCTGTGGAGACAGCAGCTCTGCTCCCAGGAGGATCTGGAGGATTTGGGTTGTTGGAGGGGTGTGAAGCTCACAGGCATTCCCTGCCCCTTGGGGCACCGCCACAGGAGTCACTTGGTACGAGGTGATGGGGACACAGGGACCAACTGGCTCACCAGGTTGCCTGGCTTTCCCAAGCCACCACTGGGAACCTGCAGGCCCAGCCCTGCATTGAGTCACAGGCCGGGAAAGTGCTGAGCAAGAATAAACCCCAAACCCTGGAGAGGCAATGAGCCTTAGCCCTGGCCCCCACCACCACCTGGACCTCCCCAGCTTTATACTGTAATAAGATCTTTGAATGTGTATATTCTTATTTTTTTATAATCTTGGCGGGGGGGTGGGTAGTTTTCATTTTGTAGTTCTTTTTTGGGGTTTTTTGGTTGTTTTTGTTTTTTTTAATTTAACATTAACTTGATCCAAGCCAGAACCAGAAGTATTTGTAAATGTTCCTATTTTGCTCTTGTTCAGAGAAACCTTTTTGTTGTTGTTCCTTTTTTGGGGGTTGTTTTGTTTTTATTTGTATTGATATATAAATATACTACCAGTGACCAGTACTCTTTGCTGTAATGGGGGCATTGGGCAGGAAAGGAGAAGGAGGGAGTTTAGGGCTTTGCACAGGCTGTGATCCCCAAAAACAAGCTGGCTGCATCCCTGGGGACGCACTGACTTTGAGGGGTGTGAAGCTTTGTTTGGGGCTGCTCCTGGCCTGGGTGAGGCTGAGACAGAGATAACCAGGCTGCAGGCAGCTTTCCTGGGTGGGCAGGATAGTGGCAGGAGGGAAAGCAGCACGATGGGCTGTGCCTGGTAGCTGGCGGGGGGAGACAAGCCACCCTGCTCCGAGCTCCTGCCTCTTTTCCCAGGGCCTTGCCAAGCCCCAGAGCATCAGTCTCCTGTCTGGCCACTGCATCTGCCTGCTGCTGCCTTTCGCTGCAGGATTTGGGAGTGAGGGCATCACCCCTGTGCTGCTGGACCTGCTCTGAGCAGGCATGTAGGGCACAAAAATTAGGGGGAATTCCTGGGCTGCCCGCCAGCTCTAGCACCTTCAGGTGCAAGTGGTGCCAGTTCCAGAGCAGCAGCTGCAGCCTGAGGCTTTGGGATGAGGGAAGCAAAAAGGCAGCTACTGCAAATGAAGCCATAGAGTCAGTGAGAGAGCTTGTGCCCCAGAACAGGGCAGCTGGCAAGTGTGAAGAGCAGCACCTGTGTTTGCTCAGCTGGAGTCTGTCTGGGACTGGCAGAGAAAGGAGCTTTCCCTGTGCTCTGGGCATGGACTGGCTTGGCTGTGCCAAACTGGGGCCAGACGCGAGGGCTGGAAGGCTGGAAAAGAACCACAGGCAGCAGGGAATCCATCTGGAATCCCTGCATGTCCCAGTGCCCAGGGGTGCATGAGAGGTGGGTGTTCTAAGCATCCCTAGAGCTGTGCACATCCTGCCTGTGAGCAGTTCTGGTTTAGGTGCAGTGTCCCGTCCTTCCAGGTATCATTTCCCACCCAGCTGTGCTGCCAGAGCAGCATCAGCCCAGGCAGTGTGACCTGCAGAGCAGCTCCTCCTGCTCAGGCTGCCCTCACTTTCCTGTGGGGCACCCCTTGCAGGTTGGCTCCTCCTCTGAAGGAAGGATCACTGGGCCCTCCCTCCTTGCTGCCAAACTTCTTCACCCAGCTGGGTTTTCTTCTTGACACACATGGAGAAAGGGGGTATTTGCAGCTGCTTGTCAGACACGTGCTGTCAGCAGCAGCTCTCTGTGGCTCAGTGGGGCTCTTGGCAAAGTGTTGGCTGCAGATCTGAAAGCTGCAGGTCGTGCCAAGCGTCCCTGTGGCCCCGCAAATGTGCCCAGTCTCCCACAGGCTGTGAAATCCGAACCAAGCCCGCGCTGTGCACATGGTAAAGGTGGTTGTGCCTTTTAGCTCAATTCCACAGCAGGCACAGAGAACCAAAACTTCTCCAAGGAGACCTGTGACCTGGATGTCTGATAGGATTACTAGACAGAGGAGAGGAGAGGAGAGGGATGCAAATCACCACCGCCGGCTCTAAATGGGAACGGCTTGGATATGCCTCTGCCACAGACCTCAGCAGCTACCTCCCTTCAAGGAGAGCTGGAGATCCCATCTGTGCTAGAGGCAGAGGAAAGGGTTGTAAGCCTTTTCCATGGAAGAGCAACCCACAGACTCACCCCCTGTTCCTGACTATTCCCAGGGCTGTGTTTCTTGTCAAAACGAGCATTTTCAGTCCTCTTGCACAACACGAGGTTTTGTTCCATCTCCCCGTTTCCTTCTCCCTGTGCCAGCAGATCCTGCTCAGCACAGAAATGTGTGGATTTCTCTGGAAATGGTCACTTCATGCAGACAGCCATAAATTACTGGAAATAAAAGGTTTGTGTTGTTTGAAGAGCAGTGGGAAAAATGGGCTGCTGAGCACAGGCAGACTGATGCCTGCAGCATCTCCCCTTCCTGGCGTGCCCCAGGGATGGGGATCAGCCACCACGGGCAAAACTCTGCAGCACGGACAATTCCAAGAATGTGAAATCCGAAGTGCTGCTCAAGTGTGGGAATGGGGATTTAAAGCCATTGCAGGGAAATCCCACAGCAGCGCTGCCATCCCTGTGCCCACCTGTTTCATTTGGCTTTCTTAGCTGCATGCACACCGCCTCACTAATTATGATTACTTAAGTGCTTGTAATTTTGAGTCCTGGGAGTTTGGGAAGCGTTTAACTCCGGAGCACTTAATTTCCCAGCCCTTCTCCTTCTTTGCCTCTGGTTTCCAAGGCTCAGGCTCGATCTCCAGCGGCACAACATCCCGTGAAGGTTCAAACCCCGCTGACCAGAGCCCTTCCAGCAGCTAAACCGAGCTGCAGCTCCCCGACACATAGCAGAGACCCTCTATGCTGTGCCTGCTTGTCCTGGCAGCACCTGGCTGCCTGCTCCCTGACCAGGCTGAGAAAGGGAAAAAGAGCTGGAAAGAAAAAAAAACCGAGAGATTTAAACCTCGTTTGATGCCTGAAATACGTATTTTAACAGAAGCGTGGAGCGTGCCTGTTCGTATTTCAACCCGTCCCTGAGCACGCTCTGGATGCCCAGACGAGCACTTAACGGGCGGTGAGGCCTGGATCCTCCAGCCTTGGTGTGGCGAACCCGGCAACTCCCTCGACAACTTTCTAAAAGGAGAAAAACACGATAATTAAACACATTAACCCCCCACCTCCCGTCTTAGCGGAGGGGACCGCTCGCCACCCCCGCGCTG